TGCTACCCGTCCCATTTCCACTTGATGTTACTATATAAGCGTCAGGCGCTTTGCTTCTGCTTCAGAATCTCCACGACTATGGTGCTCTTCGCACCTACTGCTAGGTTGAGGGACTGATTACCTCATCTTCTGTACATAGTTCTCCTGTCTTCAAGTTATGTCCTGGAATTTGTATTGATAAAGCCACTGGATGGCAAAACGTCTACAATAAAGATACCCAGATGTTGCACATGTGTCTCAATTTCATCTTGTCGGTATTGTATACCATTCTTGTACATAAAAGCTACTACTGGTATTCCGAGTCTGGATGGTATCATTGATTTGTCTGGTGTACGATACCTACAATCTTCCCCTCAAACTTATTTGTCTAGCCTATATATCCTTGAATAATGTGTGCAAGGAATTAATATAATATTACGGCCTGGGTTTGAAGACATTGAGTGTATTATAAAAAGAAAGTAAATAGCGGTTATGCCAAAATGAAATTAAGCACTAAACCTAAATGAGTCATACAACCAAGTTCTGCCAAGCAACTAATAAATACTAACCATACCTTCTAATACACATTATTATAATTAATGGAGCACTAAACCCATAAGGGCCACAACAATGCCTAGGGAAGTGGGAGGTAATCAGATTCAACCCAAGGAAATGAAAGTCCTCTAATTCACAAATACTGACCTGGCTCTCTAATTCACAAGTCAAAATTCTGAGAATTTTTTTTTTCCCTAATGTGCACAAATTAAAACTACCTCCACTAAACAAACTAGTCAATATTTACACACAGTATTATAAATTACAGTGATACTCATTGGAGCCCATAAATCCAATATTTACTCCAATAAAAATTAGTATTATTTATATACCTACGAAGAAAATGAAAACGCAAGCAAACATTTTCTGCGAAAATTAAATATATTCCCCTAAGAAAAATAAATCACCATAATACCCTGAACATGTTTCAGTCTTCAAGGCTGAAGACTCCACTAAAGCCTTTTTACACCTTTTAACGCCACAGTCGCTATTAAACTATACGCCTACCATTAAATTACCACATTACAGGTCTCAAACCCCTACTGAAAGTTTCGTCCAGGAAGCACAATGTGGGAAAAATCGTATACAGAAGCCGCGAAAACAAAACCCTTTATTTCCCCGGAAGTAGTATTTAAAAACAGTAAAAGACTAACATGGCCGCCTGAAGAAGCAGCTAATGTACTTACTCTTCGAATTTCCGAGTCAGATGCGGTCCTAGAGACGCCCAAAGCTTGATAAAGTTTGTTGTCCGCCATTCCGATGCTGATCTGCGGCCACGCAATAAACGCCGAGTGAACCTCTTGTTGTGCTCGAATATTCCACCTGATCTCCGACCCTCCTTAAGCGCCTTCAAACTTCACCACATACAATCTAATCACCTTTACTTCTCCTAAATCGCTTTTTGCCGTTCTTACTCAGTCCTAATACCCTTTACCAACTATTAAAACATTTCAAGTCTCCTTACTAAACACCTAATACTCTTTAACAAACCTCAAAGGGTTCACAATGCCATAAAAAAAACTAACAAGACAGCTGACTCTCCGAGACGTTGCTGGCGCCTGACTGGGTTGGCTTACAAGTATATCTGGCAGACTATACAACCAGCTGATGCAAACATAAATGTAAACTTTGCCAAATGGACTATTGCCATATTTGACGTCATTATGTGCTGAATTCGTTGCGATTTGATCAAATTGTTGAATTCAAAGACAATTCACTCAATGTTCAAGAAATATCAAAGCAATTCATACACAGTAGCATATTGCCAGCCATTTCGGAAAATACCCTGACTTTGCTTATTGTAAATAACTAAAATGACTTGAATTTGTTAAAACCCAACCATACTTTGCTTAGATATAAGGTAATATATATTTTAGAACCACACGTAAACTACACTATAAGTCACTCTGTCTGACTTTTTTGGGTTATCCTAGGTTCTCTACACATATGCTGCTATGTATGATAATTCTATGTAACTGTATTTGTGTATATCTGAATAAATTTACTTACTTACTTACTTACTAATGTTTTTGTTGTTGCATTCATGTCTGCATAAATAACTCGTTACGTAACCAGATTATTATTATTATTATTATTATTATTATTATTATTATTATTATTATTATTATTATTATTATTATCAAAAAGATTACGTAACCAAATTTCAACATGTAAATAGTTCATTACCACTGCAACTTAGCTATCAAAACTTGGCAGCCACTCCTTGAACCCATTATGTGCCTTTGTATTTAAAATAACTGGTTTAGCGCTGCCTGATAATCATAATAATTTCTTAACATAAAACAAAATTATTCACTTCAAATGCATATGATTTTACAGACATATCCTGGGGCAAAAGCCAATGATGCCTGGTAGGCAACACACTCGCCTCACACTGACCGTCCTTGATTCAATCCCGGACAAAGTTTATTCTCTATAAGGATTACAACCTGTCGGTATTGTATACCATTTTGATGTTCAAGGATTACAATGTTGATTTTACAGGGTAAGTTTATTCAGGTATACGCAAATACAGTTACATAGATTATCATACATAGCAGCATATGTGTGGAGAACCTGGGATAATCCAAAAAAGTCAGACAGAGTGACTTATTTCCATCGGGGTCTTTTTATTTTATTATTATAATATACAGGTTATAATATTATTATTCTGTAATGAAGATAACATCTTATTATCATACTAAAAAGACTATCTACTACACGAGGGTCATTAAAACTATCTACAATACGAGGGTCATTCCTAAGAAATAAGGTAAAATTACACGTGTGTTAGCTAAAAAATAAAAAATCATTCCCCTCCTTTTCTGTAGCTACATTCATCGGGCACCTTTTGGCACTCTTCTTGAACTGGTTCATGCTGTGACTGGCTTTGACATGTGCGGGCAGTCTGTTCCATTTCTTTATTGCTGTACAATAAAAGGTAAAGTTAAGACACATGTGCAGCATCTGAGTATCTTTATTGTAGACGTTTCGCCATCCAGTGGCTTTATCAATACAAATTCCTGGAATTTGTATTGATAAAGGAAGGAGCACTGCAGAAATCCCATCGACCCAAGCTGGCCAAGTCTATCTCACACTCATGTATTGTTCTAACCTATTTTTAAAACTATACAACGTTTTAGTTTCAATAGCGTTACTCGGGAGTTCCACTCATCTACAACTCTTTTATCAAACCAGTGTTTTCCTATATCCTTTGTATATCTATTTTTTTTCAACTTGTACTCACTGCTACGAGTCCTGTCTTGGCTAGCTATTCTTAGCACGAACGAACGAAAGTTCAGGTAAGATCCCAAATGGGATGAGCGGGGAAGACGGGACAGACGAAGAATAGTGCTGGAGAGGAATTTTCTTAGTCGTAGAAATAGAGCCAGGGCTTAACCCAGCAGCGAAGGCGATCGTGGGACAGATATTGAGAAGAGAAATTCAGGCTCTTCTGTTGGGACTCCGGTGGGGTGAGCTGGGAGGACGGGACAGGCGACGTTTAGAGCTAGAGAGGAGTGTAGAACTGAGCCATGACTTAACCCAATAGCTAAGGCGAACGTGGATCAGAGAATGGTACCTGTCAGAGAAGGTACCTGTCATAGAATCCAAGGTTATTTGTAAATAGGGTTAGGAGCAGGATCATGCAAGGAGTAGAAAAGGTTGTGTTGGTTTGTGGGTCTGCGAATGTCTTCGTCAATGAGAGTGGTCCAGTAGTCATGTCGTGTCTCAAGTTGTCTATCTGTCTGTCACTGAGCGTCTTCCTAGTCCGGGGATTCAATTGGCAGGGAAACTCCACTTGTGGCGAAGTCCTCCATCTGACATCAAGCACCCAGCGCAGGGGCCTTGTTCTGGACACGCTGCAGTTTAAGTAAGTTTTTTTTTTGTGCAAGAGAGAGGGCTTAGAGGAGGTAAGTTATCAGGGGACGTATTAGGGATTTGTAGAGGTGTAGTCTGGTGCGTTGAGAGGCGTGTTTCAGCTTGTAGAGGCCCGCAAGGGCCTTACTAGCTATTACATGCCTTGAGTGAATGTGTCCGTGTAAACGAAGAAGGTAGTCAAGATTAACGCCAAGGACAGTGACAGATTGTGTGATGGGGATGTAAGTGCGGGTGTCAGCTGTTCTGAGCTCGACAGGTAATGGAGGATCATGTTTCCTGTAGTTAAAATACGTAATGCTGGATTTAACTGCATTGGTTTTGATCCTCCATTTTTGTTCCCAGATGGCTATCCTGTCTACCTCATTTTGTGTTTTGTGTGTGAATGTATCTATATTGGCATGAGTGATAAGTTGTGTAATGTCGTCTGCATAGGCTAGTGTGATGGAGTTGTGGTATACAGGTGTTGGAATGTGTAATGCTACCTGGCGAATGTGAGTCGACTACTCGGAGCATCACGACGGACGACGCCAAGGAAGGTAAAAACATTGTTGTTGTTGGGGATAGCCAGATTAGGTACATGGATAGGGCATTCTGCTTGAAGGATAGGAGTAGGAGGCAGAGAGTGTGTTTTCCTGGGGCTGGGATGAAGGATATTGTTAGCCGTCTGGATGACATCATGAGAGGTAATGGGAGCAATCCTATTATCTGTCTCAGTGCTGGAGGCAACGATGTTGGCAGACGTAGGAGTGAGGACCTGATTAGCAGGTATAGGTCAGCAATAGAGATAATTAGGAGGAAGGGTGGGAAACCTGTCATATGTGGCATTTTGCCAAGGAGAGGAGTTGGAAATGAATGGTTGTCCAGAGCAATTGGTGTCAATTGCTGGCTGGACAAATACTGTAAGGAAAATGCGGTAACATTCATTGACAACTGGGACCTCTTCTATGGCAGAAATGACATGTATGCCAAGGATGGGGTTCACTTATCTAGGTGTGGGGTGGGAGCACTGGCCAATGCAGTGGAGGGAGCTGTTAGGTCTTTAAACTAGGAATAGTTAGTGGTATGGGTTTTTGCAGGAAAACTGTGAAGTCTCAGGGTAGTAATATGAGTACTAGGAGAACTAGTAATAGGCAAAATAAGGTGGATATTGGAAAGCCAGTGGCACTAATTGACAAGGACAGTAATAGGTTTAGTGGAATAACAGAAAGGAGCAGGAAGGGTAAAGAGAGAGGAGGGTCTTTAAGTATTTATTACACAAATAGTCGCAGTGCTAGGAATAAGATAGACGAGTTGAGACTAGTTGCTAGTGCAGGTAACATAGATGTATTTGCCATTACTGAGACGTGGTTTAATTTTAAAAAGTCGGGACAAAGCCTGCGGAATGTCACATTCAGGGTTTTAAACTGTTCCAAGTAGATAGAAGTATCGGGAAGGGGGGTGGGGTGGCACTGTATGTCCGAGATCGCTTGAACTGTTGCATAAAAACGGGTATTAAGTCTGAAGTAACACATACAGAGTCTGTTTGGATAGAATTTTCAGAGGGGCATGAAAAGTTAATTTTAGGTGTGATATACCATCCCCCAAATTTAGATAGGGACCAGGGTAGACTACTATGGGAGGAAATTGTTAGGGCCACAAGGCACGATAATGTAGTAATTCTAGGAGACTTTAACTTTAGTCATATTGATTGGAATTTCTTGACTGGGAATTTAGAATCATACGACTTCTTTGAAGTAGTTCAGGATTGTTTTTTGAAGCAGTTTGTGGGCAGAACCTACAAGGGGTAATAACCTGCTTGACTTAGTTCTGGCAAACAATGAATCCCTTGTTAATAATTTAGAAGTTTCAGAGGAACTGGGTGCTAGCGACCACAAATCAATTACATTTAGAATTGAATGGAAGTATGATAGTAGGGATAACTCAGTAACAGTCCCAGATTTTCGCTTAGCAGATTACGATAGGCTTAGAGAACACTTATCATCTGTTGACTGGGGTAACGAAGAGAGCTATCAGTATGACAGTTTTCTGAACACAATACATGCTGCTCAAAGAACGTTTATCCCTTATAAAGAAATTAGATCAAATAGAAATGACCCAAAATGGATGAATAATAGGGTGAAATATCTACTAGGGCATAAGAAAGGAATTTATAGGCGTATCAAAAGAGGCAAGGGTCATCTTATGAATCAGTATATTGACATTAAGAGGGACATTAAAAAGGGGATAAGAAAAGCTAAAAGGGACTATGAAATTAAAGTTGCTAGGGATTCTAAAACTAACCCAAAAAGTTTTTTCCAGGTATATAGAACAAAAGTCAGAGATAAGATAGGTCCCCTTAAAAATAACTATGGGCATCTTACTGACAAAGAGAATGAAATGTGCTCGATTTTAAATAATTATTTTCTCTCGGTTTTTACACAGGAAGACACTAATAATATTCCGGTAATTAATTTTTATAGTGGGCCAGAAGAAGATAAATTATGTAACATCACAGTCACTAGTGAAATGGTTGTGAAGCAGATAGACCGACTGAAGCAAAATAAGTCACCGGGTCCTGATGAGGTTTTTTCAAGGGTTCTAAAGGAATGCAAAATGGAAGTCTGTGAACCATTAACTAATATTTTTAATTTATCTCTTCAAACAGGTGTAGTGTCTGATAT